CTCTCTCTCTCTCTCTCTCTCTCTCTCTCTCTCTCTCTCTCTCTTTTGTCTGGACTTGTGATTTCCTTGGTGCAAGGAAATTCCACCTTTGCAGGCAACTCATCTGAAACATCTGGTCTTAGAGAGTTAGCTGGGGTACCAAGGTTGTAGTGTTTAAAATAATTTCAAGAGATAGTTTTTGGGGAAATGATAATCAATTTCATCAATCATGGCCAGCATGTGACTGACAAAAAAGGCTCTTTATTCTCTTGTTCCATCAAAGAGACTGCATGGTTACTTTTTAAGGTTTCTCTGCCTTTGGACAAGAGGTGTTCCATCAAACAGCAATCAACTCTAATTGGTTAACAGTTTAATTAGAGGTGGACTTCACAAAGAGAAGTCGGTTTACTTCAAAGAGGTGCTGAAAGTAATATAATGTCACTCTTGGTTAGGGAGACTATCTCTATACCCAGACCACCCTCAGCCTTCAGCAGTGTAGACAAAAGGATCTGTCTCCACCCAAGCTTGATTGAATGAAATTTACCTAGACTAGACTAGAGATTCTTTGTAAGGGTTATTGAGGAGGTTAGAGGTCTTGAAAATAGAAAAAAGGGGGAGGACTCTGAATCTCCCCAAATTATTAGGAAGTTAACAACTCCCCAAGTTATTAACAATCATTTCTTTCAAAATCAGGTGACTATTCTAAGGTCACACAGCTAGTATATTTCAGTGGCAAAACTTGAAGATGATCACCCTCACTCTGAGGCAAATTCTCTATCCCCGACTCCATGCTGCAAGCTTCTCTGCAGCATGGAAATATTAATTAATACTCATTGGGTTGCTCTGAGATTTGCAACTCTTGAAGGCAAGGATTACAAGTGAGTTATAATCATGAAGCTGAGAAGGAAATGGCTATCCAAGATTTTGCTTAGCCCTATATAGTCAGAGGATTCTGTGCCTCAAGGATCCCTTGAGACCATCTGACTCCAGGGGTTCTTAACCTTTGTTGTAGTGGATTGCTTTGGCAGTCTAGGGGAGGCCTCTGGACCTCTTTTCAGAATGTTTTTAAATACATAAAGTAAAATATGTAGTTATAAGGAAACCAGTTATGTTGGAATAAGTATCAAAATATTAACAAAATAAGTTAACAGATGCCAGATTAAGAACCATGGATAGTCCAGCCCCTTCATTTTACAGATGGGGATACTGAGTCCCAGAGAAATGAAATACTACACCCAAGATGACAAAGGCGTAAGAGCAGAGCTAGGATTCAAACCCAGGTTCTCTGACTGCTGATGCAGTACTCTTACCATAGCACTAAGATTTCTGATAAAAAGTCCTTGAGGAGATGGTTAGAATTTAATTGCTATGGTTTTATAATTACATAACAATAAAATCTCAGTGAAATTACCCTGCACACAAATTTGGCAGACAATGACAAGTTAACAATGAGGGGCAGAAATGTGGAAAATAAGTTTTCTTCTTCCTTGCCTCTCAGTTTACTCCAGCCTAGACAGTAAACACTACTTTCTCTGCCAATTTGCCAAATATTGGGCTGGGGGGTGGGGCTTAAAAAGAGATTCTTCCATTCTCTTTTGGAATCTTGCTTGTTTTTACTTCTGTGTCTTGGGCATTGATTCTCTGGCTGTGTTTGCTGCAGACAGGTGCTTTTTTACAGGCCTGCTCCATTAACTAGAATGTTGGACTCATGATCAAAGGCATCGGGGGTGTCCTGCCTTGTGAATTCTACTGCCTCACTGTCTCAGTGCCTCATATATGCTTGCTGACTGACTCTTCTCCTCTGTTTCCAATACCACTAGGATGGTTAGGGCATCATCAACTATATTCCTGTAGTCCTTCAAACTTACCACCCTGTATCTATCATGCATGTTACTGTCAGGTTGGACCTCCTGGGGCACAAGATCCTCTATCACATCTCTTTGATGCTCAAAAATCCATCTGTTTCTCCCTGTTACCCATTAAACTCTTTGACCTGGCATATGAGACTTCATTCATTCATTCATTCATTCATTAACTCACTCATTCTCTCATTTATTCTTTCCCAATTTGCCTTCATTCTTGGGCAGCATGGCATAGTGGCTACAGAACTTGGCTCAGCAATGAGTAAATCAACTAAACTCCATTTATTAAGCACTATGCACAAAATACTGCTCAGAACTGAAGCTTTAATCACCAAAATAAAATAGTTGTTACTTTCAAGTAGCTCATATCCTAACTGAAGAGACAACACTCATGAGAGATTTAGCTTCAAGTCAGCTAGCAAGTCTTCAGGGTCCCCGGGGTGCAGGCAGTAATGCATCTTCTTAAATGTCACCTCCACTGATAGAACTAGAGTCATTTCTGGTGTTGAATCACTTGACAACACCAAGTACTTTTATGTTGAGTACTTTCTTTTATCTATCCTCAGTAAATGTGGTCATTGAGAAGATGGTAGGTGGCCAGTCTTAGTTCTGCAATGGTTGTTTTTCTGGACAGTGGTTGTAGCAGGGGCCCGGCTGGTTGGTAGCAGGGCTGGTGGTCCAAGTGCCATCATGTTTTCCAAAGCACGTGGGTTTCCCTGTCTCTCAATGGCAGACCTGACTTCACATCCAGCCTCAGGTACTTGTTAATGGTGATCCTAGGCAAATCACTTAACCTCTCTTTATCTCTGTTTTTTCATTTTCGAAATGAGGGAGGGTTGGATGGGAAGGCCTATAAGATCCTTTCTAAGTCTAAATCTCTGATTCTCTGATTCTATTTGTCAGATTTCTCACTCTACCTCATATACTCTCTATTCCATCCAAACTGGATTAATTGCCATGTCACTAATGTGAACCTTCTCACCTTTCAATCAAATATCTTACCATTATGCTGTTTTGCTCACACTGTTCTCTAGGTTCAGAATGCTCTCCCCTGCTCACATCTTATTCAAATCCTAAATAAATGCTACCTCCCCCATGAAGCCTTCTATGATTTTTACCAGAGCCCTTGGAGCAACTCTTATGAACTTTTATTTTGTATTATGTTTTTGTGTTTGTGTATTTTTTGCCCTCTCCTAGACTGCACACTTCATGAGGTTAAAGGATAAACTCAACATATTCTTAATGGAACTGATTTTATACCCCCTTAAATCTCCTTTTCCTTTTGTCAATGACACCACTACCATCACAGTCACATAAACCCACAACCTTGGAATCTTTTTCTGCTCTTCCTTTTTCCTCAGCCCCCAATCTAATCCATTGCCAAATCTTGTCAATTCAACCTACGTAATACATTGCATGTCCATCCATTCCCTCCTCTCCACTTTCCTGATTTGGACCCTCATCACTTCTACAAAACTGTTGTAACAGACTGCTAACTTGCTTGCCTGCTTGATAATTGATCTTTCAAATAACTGCTAAAATAATCTCCTTAAGACACCTCTGGTCTGACCATTCCACTGTGCTACTCAATGATTTTCAGTTCTCCATATTGACTCCATGATAAAATATAGACTGCTTAGGCTTGCATCTAAGTCATTGAGCAATTTAGCTCACACCAGCCCTTCCTGCCTGACTTTATACAATTCCCTTTCACCCAGATCAATAGTTGCTCCTTGATCCTGGCCTGTATAGACTCTGGATGTCCTCTGTGCCCTGAAGGCCTCTCCTTTCTCCTTGACATTTGCTGAAATATTTCTTTTCCTTTAGTCTCTACCACCTCTTCCACAAAGCCTTTCCTCATGTCACCAGGCTTTTTTCTTCATCAAATTTCCCTCTTTGCCGTGGTCACATTCTAACTTGTATCCCAGTTACTTGTGTATATCTTCTCCTCTCCCTCATTAAATACTGAATTCCTTAAAACTCGGGAAATCTCACTATCATCAGCATTTTGGCTAATACCTTGTAGTTACTCAAGTGCTTTACAAGTTGTTATGGAATTTAATGAAATTAAATAGTAGGTGCGTAATAACTGCTGAATAAATGATTGAATGAATGATAATCATAATTACCAGTTAGTTCTACTATTGTGTTTTTAGGTTTTATAGATTTCTTTTTTTAAATTCCATAGTCATTTTCTAGATTCACATCTCAAACACCTAATTCCTTGTAAGTAAGAAAAATAGTTATGCAAAGTGGATCAATATATGAACCATGTCAGACAGTATATTCAACATTCTTTACCTGGAGAAAAGAGATATAAGTATATTTCATACCCATTCTTCTGGGAAGAAGATTGGTTATTAAAATTATTCTGAGTCAATTGTCTTTTCATGTTTCTTTTTTCACTTATATTGCTGTACATGATATAATATTAACTTATAATATGATTATATGTATTATATATTTTATTCTCTTACATTATATATTATTCTATTGGTGCTATTTTCTTCACTCCATATTTTTTCATGCAAGTCTTCCCATGTTTTACTGAATTCCTTGTATTAATAATTTCTTATGGCACCAGAACATTCTATATTATCTTGACCCAATTTGTTTAGCAATTCCTCAATTCATGGGTATCCTATTTTTCTTTTTTTATAATAAATTTTTATTAGTATATTTTATTCCTCCCCTCCAGCAATTTGATTTCCTTCTTTATCCCTCCCAGAGAGTTATATCTTAGACAAAGAATTATTTTTGAAAAAAGAAGAGGGGAAAAAATCAATAAAATCAATACTTTAAAAATCTGACATCATACACAGTGTTCCATAGCTGTGAACCTGCCATCTCTGCAAAGGAGTCTGAGTGGTTGTGTGGTGGAAGAAGTCTTCTTATAGCTCTTCTCTGGGGCATATTTGTTCTTAGTTATTTTGCAACATTCCTTTTCAATTCTTTTGTGACTATTCTTTCCATTTTCATTATTTTAGTCTGCACTTGTGTTCTTTCCTTTCCTTTCCTTTCCTTTCCTTTCCTTTCCTTTTCTTACTGCCTTTTGCATCACTTGCGATCAGTCTGTAAAGGCAGTTAATGAGCATTTATTAAAGCTCCTACTTTGTGTCAGGTGTTGTACCAAGTGGGGTTCATGGAAGTCTTTCCATGCTGTTCTGTATTTGTCGTGTTTGTCACTTTTTACAGCACAGTAATATTTCATTACATTCACACCTCATAATTCTCTCTTCACTCCCTATTCAATAGACATCTACTTTATTTCCAATTCTTTGCTACCTCCAAAGTACTATTACAGCTACATAGTGCATAAGGGGCTTTTCTTTTTGTCATTGACTTCATTACTAACAGTGGAATCTCCAAGTCAAAGGGTATAAGCATTTTTAGCCACTTTCTTTGCATGATTCCAAATTTCTTTCCAGAAATGCTGTGCAAATTCACAACAGTGCATTAGTGTGCCTCTTTCCATAGCCCCATCAATAATAACTATTCTATCTTTTGTCATTTTTGACAATTTGCTCAGTGTGAGATGAAACCTTAGGGTTGTTTTGATTTGCATTTCTTATTATTTGGAGCATTCTTTCATATGTATTTTAAACAGTTTACAATTCTTCCTTTGGTAACTATTTCTTCACATCCACCAATTACCATTGTGTAGCACCAATGTGATCAAAATCCACAGGAGAGAAACTTACTGTCAATATTTCCTTCAGTCAAGCCCAAATCATAAATTGTATCCAATTTGGCCAAGCATTGAAATAGAATATTATTCTTTGGTTCAAGACAATTTGTATTTAGCTTACATGTGGATCTTCCCACAAAAGCTACTCTGGGTTCAATATACACAAGAAATCCACATTCACTATAAAAACATAGCCTATGAATTTTGACTAATGCGTTTCTTTTTACTACTCATCCAGAGGACACTCTTAGTTCAATCAATTAAGTAATAAGTATTTATGAAGCACTTTCTATAATTCAAACCTTGTACTAGGCATTAAGGATACTAATATAAAAGTCTTGATACTCCCTGCATTAGAGGTAATAACATTCTGCTAGTTCAAAGGTAATTCCTTTTCATGTGGAACAATTTAGTGATAAAGAGGCTATATAAGAAAGCTATTTTGTGTAAAAGAAAAGATTTATATTAATTATTAAAGTATATAAGATATTACTGTTCCTCAAGGTGAACATTTTGATCCCTAATAGTTGTAGAAAGAGAACTCTAAAAATAAAAACTGATAACAGATGCACATAAAGAAACAGTTTTCAGATGAAATTTGAATCATTTCATAAAGAAAATGAACTGTGATGTAAATACAAAGACTCCAATCTCCTTTGGAATAGTATGGAGTGATATTTCACTTGGAAACTATTTGTTATTTTGAAGAAGAAAAAAGAAAGATACTTTGTTAAAAGTGAAAAAATACATGAAACATAGTTTCGATGAACACTACCTCAGGGCCTCACATCTCTGATGTTGCTAAATCAAAGACATTTAATGCAGTAACATTAAAAAAGGTAGCAATATAATACTCCCTTCACAAACATGGGATATATTTGCTCACAAATACATCATCAATGAGAAGGGCGAACTCACTTGTGGAACACGTGTGGAATAAAGTACAATAGGAAATATATTTATGATCAAGGAACATGTGTGGAGGGATACCATGTGAGGCACACATGTCCACAACACATTAATGTAAGCACACACATTGTGAACACATAAAACCAAAGACACTCATGGAGGCATAATTCATACATCTGTAGTTACAGGGCCATTGATGGCTTATGTGGGGATCCCCCTTGGCCTGTTCCCTTCTGGTCTTGTGTGGTTTGTAGTATTTTTTTTTTTAATAGAAAACAGTTTAATTCCTGTTTGCAATGCATGTAGTTTCTCCCTAGTATATAGATGTGTCATGTAATCTCTGTGAGGTTTAATCTCTGCTAGTTTCACATGGTCACCATAAAAGAGTGTCTCACTGATCCCATGGTTGGATCTGGTTACTATCAAACATGGCTTTGCCTGGGCATATGCCTGCAGAACTCTCTTTTAGTTTATAGGGAGGTCCAAAGGCTTAAGTTTCAGATTCTTTAGGGAGTCAAGACCTTCATGCATCCAACATAGAAACAGAAGAAAACCATTAGGAACTTTTCTCTCCAGAAGTACAGTTTATTTGTTCTTAACATCTTGGCTATGTTGGGCTTTCCACACCGAAGGAAAAATTTTGCCTCCATGGGCCAAGTCCTTTTAAAACATAGGACAGTCAAATAAGTTGAACCCACAAGCATTGTTTTTGTTTTTAACTCTTCTTTCTCCCACTTACTAGGAGAAAAGTTTCTATCCCAAGCCTCTATGGCTTAGTGTTAAAAAGTCCTTGTAGAGCTTTTTAAATTTCTGAGTGCCTAACTACACACTTTCAGAATTATATCAGGGGATCTACCCTTCTAGAAACTGTGATGAAGTATCTGGAAGAACTGAAAGCCAGTTCATTTCGCTTTTAGGGATTGCTGATTTTTAGGATTTCTGAAGACTCCATTTTTCTCAATCCTGAAATTCTTTGTGGTCTCTTATGTAATTAAGTTTGTGCACAGGGGTGCACATATGTGTGTGGCAGGTGGGGGGAGGAGTAAAACCCCTTAGGTGGAGTTGCTTGGAGGTAACAGTCTATCTCAATCATTTGTTGCAAATTATTGTCTTTATAATGTCTGTGTGAACAAATAGCCATGAGCTTTCCTACATGTGCATGAAAAGCAGTTTATGAAAATGACAGCCCAGATTGTCTGGCACTGGTTAATGATCTCATTAGTGTTTAAAGTCAGAGAAATAAGGATGGTTTATCCACTAGCTTAAATATAATTAAGACAACTGCCAAAAGGTAATGTGATTTTTTTTTTCTTCAAGTGAGATGGAATGAGCACCAGCTTGAATAATATCTGGGAAAACTAGAAACCCTGTAATAGTCAAAAAGCAAATAACCATGGGAAACCCTGAAGGACACCCCTCACAAAGTGGAGATGGCCTTTAGTATTAGGCTTCATTATAAGTTGCCATGCATACATGATTGGAGTCTATGATGTGGATCCCATATTAAGATTCTTAATCATTTTATTTTTTCAGTTATGAATTTTTTCTAAATAAATATTACTATTAAGAGATATGAACAACAAAGTATATGCCCATCAATTGAGGGATGTCTGAAAAACCAAAACAATGGTGTATCAAAGTTGGGAGGCAATGAACCACATTGGATAGAGAGTTGGCTTCAGAGATGGGAAGATAGAGGTTCAAATCCTGCCTTGGATACATCTAGGCAGGGTGGAGTGATCCTGGGCAAATCATTGAAATTGTCAGCACCTTAGGCACCCATCTAAGACAATAAGTTGCAGAGAAGGTGCTAATCAGTATTATTAGAGGGAGTTTCCTATGCCAATGAAACCACAAGACCAGTCCCTAGCTATATCTTAAAGTAGTAAGATATTACTGTGCAGTCAGAAATGGTAAATTTGAGGCATCCAGAGAAACATGGAGGATGTGCAAGGTTAGCACAGAATGAAATAAGCAGAAACTGAAGAATACTACACAATACATGTAATAATGTAAAGTGAAAGATCACCAAAAGGAAACTGAGTAATCAAAAAAATCAGTGAAGGTTCTATAGAACATATAACAAAATAGTCCTCCCTCCTCAGTAGCAGAGAGGTCAGGGACAACTAGGGCAGAATGTTGGCTACATCATCAATTGGTGTAACTACTGGATGTTTTTACTTAATTATTTTTCAACATCACAAAGATGGGCTCAATGTGGGACGGAAGGAGGAACATTTCTTTTCTCAAGAAATGAGTGTAATGTAAAGACAAAAGACATCAACACAACAATTGGTTTTTTAAAAGAAATATGATCAGAGCCTGTGAAAACTATTCATAAATTAAAAAAAAACATCAATATCTGAAATGGGTTTTCAAGATGGATTTACCACTTTGTAGGTAGGATGGAGAGAAAGCAGCTGCAGAAAATCAATGTTGCCCCACCCCCCCCTTTAAAGCTTTTTTACGTGTGTAAGTGCACATGTTGCTTGGAAGAATTTATTTTTTACATCAAGAATAGCAACTTGATTTTCACAGTTCAAGCTAATTTCTTCATCCTTTCAGATGGAACACTGGCGAATTAAAAATAACGTCCCCCTTCCTCAAAGAGATGTAGAACTTCCAGCAGTTGAAGATGTCCCAAGGGCAATTGCTTTACTGCCTGAGGAAGGACCTTTTTTGGCCTCCACAGAACAAACTGGGTTTGATATGAAAGATGAAGGCGATGCAAGCAGCACGTAAGTCATTTTTTGGATTTGATCAACTGTTTTCTACAACAGGCCTATTGATGTATATTACAGGTCAAGAAAGGAAGCATTAGCACATACACTTCCTGCCCTATGGATGCCATCCTTTGGGAGAAACGGTAAGATGGACAGAATTCTATGCAGGCATTAGATGCAGCTTTATTTCCCTAGTGGGACTCACTGAGGAAATGGATTTACACATATTCTGAGGCTAGATTGGTTTAGTAAATTCCTAAACAGCACTAGGCCTTGTCCACAAACACATAGGGCATCTTCCCTTTTCCTCCCTCTTTTACCCATTGCTACTTGCTTCAAATTAGGTAATTTCCCCTAACAGAAAGTTTATAGTGAGATTCCTTTTCTCACTCAGAAGTTGAATTTTTGGCATTAAAAGGAGGGAGGGGGACAGAAAAGGCCTCTTGCCAAAGGTAGGATTCTAGCTAGGACTTGAAGAAAGCCAGGAAAGTCAGGTGGTGGAGAGAGGTACAGATATGCCTTGGAGATATTATGGGTTCAGTTCTATTCCCCCCTGCAATAAAGTGAATATCGCAATAAAATGTCACATGAATTTTTTGGTTTCCCAGTTCATATAAAAGTTATGTTTACTCTATATTGCAGCCTAGTGAAATAGCATTATGTCTAAAAATGTACATACCTTAATTAAAAATAATACTTTGTTGCTAAAAAATGCTAACCATCATTGGAGCCTTCAGCAAGTCATAATCTTTTTGCTGGTGGAAGATATTGCCTCGATGTTGATCAGGGTGGCAGTTGCTGAAGTTTGGGGTGGCTGTAGAAATTGCTTAAAATAAGACAACAGTGAAGTTTGCCCCATCAATTGACTATTCCTTTCACCTGAACACTTAGAAGCCATTGTAGAGTTACTAATTGGCCTAATTTCAATATTACTGTGTCTCAGGGAATAGGGAGGCCTGAAGACAAGGAGAGATATGGGGGAATGGCTGGGTTGGTGAAGCAGTCAGAAGACATACAACATTTGTCAACTATGTTCACTGTCTTATGTGGTCATGGTTCATGGAGCCCCAAAACAATTACAACAGTAAGATCAAAGATCATTAATCATGGACAACCGTAACAGATATAATAATGGGAAAATTTGAAATATTGTTAGAATTACCAACATGTGACACAGAGACATGATGTGAGCACATACTGTTGGGGGCAAAGGCTCTGATAGACTTGTCAGTGCAGATTTGCCACAAACCTTCAATTTGTTAAAAAAAAATCGATATCAGAGAAGCTCAATAAAGCAAAGCTCAATAAAACAAGATATGCCTGCGATGAAACAATTCCAGAGTTGCCTGCCAGAGAAGTTGAAAGTGAAAATTCCAGGACAACTAGTGAAAATGCAAGTAAATTGGGAAATGAAGAGTCTTGTGGGAAGAACAAAAAATCCAGCATCACTAGATCACAGAGTACATAGAGGGAAATAAGATGTTTGGAGACCGGAAAGGGAGCCAGGAGCCAGGTTAAAAAGAATTTTCAAAGCCAAATAAGGAACTTTATATTTGGTCCTGGGGACAATAAGAAGCCATTGGAATTTGTTGAATGGGGGTGTGTGACATGGTCAGACATCCACTTGAGGAAGATCAGCTATCAGATGGCTAAGTGGAGGATGTATGCAAGTAGGGGGATGTTGAGGCAGTGAGATCAACCGAAAATACTATTCTAATAGTTTAAGCAGGTGGGAAAAAAGTCATGCTACAGGATGACAAAAGCATCAGAGGAGATAGGGGTGTGTGTGTGTGTGTGTGTATGTGTGCGTGTGCATATGTGTGTGTGTGTGTGTGTGTGAGAGAGAGAGAGAGAGAGAGAGAGAGAGAGAGAAGTGCTGCAAAGGAAGAATCAATAGGACTTAGCAAAGGATTGGCTATATGGGGTGAGGGAGAGTGAGCAGTCATAGATGAAATCTGGATTATGAGCCTAAGGGACTGGGAAATAGGTGATCTGAGAGTCATTTGCATAGAAATAATAATTGAATCAATAAGAGCTGATGAAGTCATCAAGCAAAAATTGTATAGAGGAAGAAGAGAAGAGGATCCAGGAGAGAACTTTAGGGACATACCCCTGGTTATCAAGGGCAAATTGGTTGAGGATCCAGCCAAGCAGACTAAGAAGGATTGGTCAGACAGGTTGAAGGCAAAGTAAGAGAGCAGTGATACAGAAACCTAGTGAGAAGGGAGTATCAAGGAGAAGAGTATGATGGACACTGTCATAGCCTGCAGAGAGGTCAAGAGAGATAAGCACTGAGAAAAGATCATAAGACTTGGCAATGAAGAGATCATTGATGGCTTGGAAGAGAGCTGTTTTAGTTGAATGTGGAGGTCAGAAGTTTGAACCCAGACAGTTTAAAGAGAGTGAGTGAGAAGGCACAAATTGTAAATGGTCCCCACCAATGGTGCCATACCTTCGACAATTTTCTTCTCTTTGGTATAGGGAATTCCCAGTGGGCAAATTCCTTCTTCCAATGTACACTGGTATCTGATCTGTAACTTAGAATCTTAGTCAGTTAATTGACGCACCCAGAAGTTAAATGACTTGCCTAAGCTTGTGCTTGACCCCTCTTTGAATGTACTATATTTGACTATTTCCTTCCTCAAATTGCTTTGCATTTTTTATATAGCATGAATATACTTATATACACACATGATGTTTCACTCTTTAGAATATAAGCACTTTAAGGGAAAGGGTGGTTCAATTTTTGACTTTGTACCCCCAACAACTAGCACCTTGTCTGGCATATAATAGGCACTTAATAGAGATTTGTTTCTTGATTGAATGCTACATTTACCCATCTATAGCACCAATTTTAGCTGGAAATAATGAGAACCCTACCCCTACCTATTTACCCCCCAAAAATATGCTGATAACATTTTCCCGCTTAGAACCTAATCTTCATCAGCATGCTATCTGATGAAATCTTTTAATATAACATTTGTCACTTAATCCCTTATACAATGGCTTTCTTTAATTCATATCAATTGATATGTTAAGATAATAAAATCTTTAACATATTTTCTTTTGTAAAATATAAATTCCTATTTTTAATATTGTTTATCTTGCTAAAAGAGAAAAGGTAAGCATTTGCAGTACACAAAGGGATAATATTCTTTTACAAAATCTTGAAAAAAAATTGAAGCAAAAGAGATCACAAATGACTAAGACACGTTATTGGAACCTCTAGTACATCTGTCATAATTTTCTGAAATGTGACCAGGAAGCTTATTTATAAAACTTAAGAGTTCAATGAAATTATCAACTCTATAACATCTTTCATTGCCTAGAATCCAGTACTAAGGAAGTTACTAGACATCACTACTAAGAAAATCTGATTCTGAGAAATGTTCAAATTTTATTGAATCAAGGCTGTTAATTCAAGGGGAGAACCTTGTCAGCTCTTATACCACTCAGAAAACATAAAATAAAAAAGAAATATGAGAAAGGTTTTTAGAAAGAATGACTTGAAACATGTATGGTAAAATATTAAGCCATAAAAAAAGGAAAAAGAGAAAAGAAAAAGTCAAGAGAAACTATAGAAAGAAATGTTATTTCCATAAAAGCAAGGACTATTGTCATTTCAGGTAGCTTTATATCCCCAGCATGTAAGAAGGGTTAGCACACAGTAGGTACTTAAAAAGTACCTGTTGTTTAGTCATTTCAGTCATCTCCAATTCTCAGTGACCCAATTTGGGATTTTCTTGGCAGAGATACTGGAGTGGTTTGCCATTTCCTTCTCCAGCTCATTTTATAGATGAGCCAACTAAGGCAAGCAGTGTTACATGACTTGCCCAGGGTGACACAATTTGTAAGTGTCTGAGGTTGGATTTGAACTCAGGTCTTCCTGACTCCAGGCCTGGTGCTCTATTCATTGAGCCACCTAACTTCACCTAAAAAAAGTGCTAATCAAATTGAATCAAATGAAAAGGATGTTAAATAATGACAGGAAGAAAAGTATTCAAGAAGGAAAGATGAAGAAAGAAGTGAAAGCTTTTTATTTTTTATTAAGCTATGTTCTCATCTTGAACTCTCATAATCTTTCATGGGATTAATAGCTTGGTTGAATATTTTCCTCTGTACTTATACAAATAGTGGCTGGTTTCCATGGTGCTCAAAGTAATTTATAATATTTTACCTAGAAAGTAGGTGGAAAGGATATTAACTTTAAGTCCTGGGAAACATATGAAGATTAGAGTTTTCCTTTAAAATATTGCCTAAAGGCCTCAAAGTAAGTTAGTAATTGAGTTGAAAACATAATACAACTCTCATGTCCAACACCCACATATAGCAAGCAGAATTCCCTATCTCTGGAAAAAACAAAATGCAGATGAGAACAACATGTTAGATAAGGATGTAAGACATGCAAAATATAGTATTTCTAAGCTAACAGAAAATTATTTCAAATCTGATCAATTTCCAATAAGATTGTTCTTGTTTAATCTTGTCCGATTCTTCATAACCCTATTTAGGGTTTTCTCGGTAAAGGTACAGGTGTCGTTTGTGCCATTTCCCTCCTCTAGCTCATTTTACAGATGATAAAACTGAGGCAATTAAAGGTTAAGTGAATTGCCCTGAGTCACACATCTAGTAATTGTTTGCATGCTTAATGATTATGGAATTTGAATCTTAGAGATGAATGGGAACTTAAAGATCATTTAATCCAAACTTTAACACAATAAAAGAAAATTCCTTCTTCAGCATCCTAAACAATAGTCATCCCTCCTCTGATTTAATACTTTCAGTGAGAGAAACTCACTCTCTCAAATGTTAGTAAACTAAAGTTGAAAAGTACCATTGTTATTGACCACGTCGAAGCAAAACGTACTAACTTGTAACTTTGACATGAGTCCCGGTCTGCTTTTAGGAGCAACAGAGAAAATCTATGCACTCTTGTGCATCAAAGCTATTCAAATATGAGAACATAGCTCTCATTTCTCCGGTTTAGCTTCAAATTCAATTCAATTGAAAAAGCA